TGTAGCTGAGTGAGTTTGTGTTTCCTTGATGCTCTGTCCTTGATGCCCCATCTCTCTTGATGCTGCCCAAACGGAAGGAGATTAACCAGGGGTCCTGTTTGCTAGATACTCGACCACTGCGCTCTCTGCCAGGCTACCTGTTGGGCTGCGTCCATCTTGCATCTTGTCCCATGAGTTACCGGTTGGCTTGTTCCAGCGTCCGTCAATAGGACTCGTACAAAGCCCATAAAATAGCTGTAATCCAGACTATCTGGGAGAGGCAGTAAGCGGCTGCTGGTCTGGAGGGTTTTTTCTTTCTCTTTCCAAAGTGAAAGCTCAGTTGTTGGTTTACAGAGAAAAAATAAATTGATGGAGCCTTTGTAAAAGAGCCACAAACCACGTCTGTTGCAGTGGTTGTTCTGGTTGGGTCTGCAGGGCCACCACTGTGTAAGTAAGTGCACAAGAGTGCATGCGTAAATTCCACTTTTGATGGATCTGAAGGCACAGCACGAATATTTCAGGTGTTAATCGCTTCTTCAACCAGTAATGAAGAGCACAGGCAGCTTTAGAACTGGGATTACTGGCCCTAAAATATTTTAACTTTTTGCTTTATGTATGCAAATGGGAGACCCCATTACAGTGCCAAGTTTGTGAAGATAAATCGTCGCAGTATGGGGAAAATAATCCCAGAGCATGTTTAATCCTGAATTACTGCTGATCCAACAGCCTCAAACTTACACGAGGTATAATAACTTTGCAGCACTCGTACGGAGATCCTTCCATGCATCGGGCGGTAGTGAAGTGTCGGGCCGTGCATCCTAACTACAGGGACGATTTGCAAAGCCCTAGTGGGTCTGGCTGCCCTAGCACGAGAGCTGGTAGGTCTTCCAGCTACTGCATCCTGGAGATGCTGGTGGGAATGGCTTCTCCAAGTCTTAACAGCTTTAAGATCCTTGGCTTAGGCTTGGCAGGCGCGTTGCAGATTAGGCAGCATCTTTCTCCAGACCTACTGCACAAACCCGTTTTTAATCTGGTGCGGTGATCGGCAGGCTGGAGAACACCTAGTGTTTCTTATTTTCAGGCTTGTCGTTTCAGTTCACTTTAATTTACACCTCTGTGGTCTGGCAAGGACTTGGTGCTCGCTCACCGGGACGTTCGGGAGTGGGATGTTGTGCCCTCTGACAGGCGTTATCTGCTTTCTGTGCTCCAGACAACATGAGTTATTTGATGTGAATGTTGGGCATAATTAAACTATCTTGTTTAGCCCCAGTAGATGAACGCCGTGTTCCTGCTGGGTTTTCACTCGCTGCAGACACCAGTGTGTTGAACTAAGCTGCTTACCTGCCAGCTGCCTCACCGCGTTAAAGCTATATAAATCCATCGCAAAGATACAGATTCACTTTCTATAGGAGCAGAGCAGCCAAGCTCTTTGGTTCAAGAAATATTTAATCGTATAGGCACAGGCCTCGTTTCTTAAAGAGCCTAAATAAAGAACATCAAAGTGACTGCGGGGACCAAACGGAGTGTCGCTGTCCCTTGCATCATCCCCTGGTAGCTGAGGGGATTGCTCAAGTGCAGTGAGTAATTGCTTTTGCAGTTTGTGTGGCTAAGCAGAGCTTTGAGTCTTGCTTGCTGGAGTCCGGCACGGTAGATGTAGCCAACGTATGTTAGAGGTGGAAGAGCCTGGGCGATGGGAACGAGCTGGGTGTAACTTCTTGCTCGCTGCGGCACAGCCCTGTCTTTCTAAGAAAGAGCTCTTGCTGTGCCAGAAACCGTTCGCGAAGATGAAGGGATTTTGCTAAATTTTTTGCGCAGAATCCGCCCCTCGGCGTTTAGATGGACCGACACCGGCTCAAGTTTCCATCTGTCT